ACCGGAATCAAGAGTGGGACGCTCAATAGACTGAGCCACTCGCCACATAGGCACCGCCCACCTCCATTTTCAAAGCCAGCAGGTGCATCACCTGGACCTGTGCTTCCACTGTCACTTCGTTCACTCCGACTCTTGCCCCCTTCATGTACCCAGACCCTTGCAATTATATTGGGCCCACCTGGACTATCTGGGCTACTCTCCCCATCTCAAGATCCTTAACTTAATCATACCTGCAACATCCCCTTCACCATGGAAAGTAACATATTCACAGGTTCCAAGGATTACAGTGTGGACATGTTTGGTTTTTTATATAACTTTTTTGATTTTTTTTTTTTTTTTGAGAGAGAGAGAGTGAGAACACACCAAGGAGGGGCAGAGAGAGGGAGAGAGACAGAATCCCAAGCAGGCTCCACGCTGTCACCACAGAGCCCAACGTGGGGCTCTATCCCACGAACTGTTGAGATCATGACCTGAGCTGAAATCAGGAGTCGGATGCTCAACAGACTGAGCCACTCAGGCACCCTGAGTGTGGACATTTCTGGGCCTACTCTTCAGCTTACCACAGTGGGGTAGGCCCTATGTTCTCCAAAGAAATTGTTTGGATTGACATATATATACTGTAAAGAAAACTAAAAGGTTGGGGGAAGTGAAAAGAAAAAACTTACAAAATTAAGTTTTTCCAGGGGCACCTGGGTGGCTCAGTTGGTTAAGTGTCTGACTTCAGCTCATGTCATGATCTCGTGGTCTGTGAGTTTGAGTTTCACGACAGGCTCTGTGCTGACAGCTCAGAGCCTGGATCCTGCTTCAGATTCTCTGTCTCCTTTTCTCTCTGCCCCTTCCCATCTCTCTCTCTCTCTCTCTCTCTCTCTCAAAAATAAACATTTAAAAAAATTTTTTTAGGTGAAGTTTTTCCATACCAGAACCATCCTCCGTTTTTAACATTCCAGATGATACTTTAAAATACCTACTAGCAGAGACACTGTGAAGGAAGATGGGGAGCAACAGAGTGGCTGTTGAGGGCCAAACTGTCATGCAGTCAGAAGACAAAGGGGGCGTGAGGACCAGAGGCCCAAGTTTCTTGGGCAGGACTGATATTTTCCTAGAAATACAGGTTTATGTCCTTCTGAATGAATGATACCAGTGTTATCTGTATGTCAGTTTGCAGCAAGGAAAATCAGATTGCTTTGTAAGAGATGGTAAAAGTCACTGCAAAAAAAAACCCAAAAAAACAAAAAACCACAAACCCAAACCCAACACAACTACTTATTCCTGGTTTAGCCAAGAGCTAACGTGAAAAATGTGCGGCCAATGGGAAAGGAATGTGGTGCTGTCAGAGACCTGACAGATTGGATTCTTTGTAAGTGATGCACTGTCCAGCTCAATTCCTGGTATCAGCTGCCTTCCTAATCGCCACGGCATGAAACATCTGTTTTCTGCAAGGTTAGCCCAACTCCACAGAAATGGGCCTTAACCAAAGGAAAGAGAGAGATGCTAAAAATCAATTCTAATAACTATATAGGGGAAAGAATTCAGATGAAACCGAGTCTGACTCACGAGAAAGCTTTCCAATCTCCCTCAACTGGATGTCCCTTGAGAAACATGTATTTTCCTGGTATCAGGGATGAGATGGTAGCAGTGTATGCCCCTACCTCTCTCCCTCTACTCTGGTAATGATACAATCATGTCGGCATTACATTAGTGAGATCGCAAAGCTTATGCCAAAAGCCAAACATAACCCAGACGTCCATGTCAAATCCCCTTACCGTGAGTAACAAAACCATCAAAATATTGTAAACGGAACATGTCTAGGACCCTGCCAGTGACAAAAGCATTTCAAAAAATATCTGATGCAGCAAAGCACCCAAATAAAATGAATTTAAATAGTCCTTCGGGTTTATAATGGAATTTGACCTGGAAAGGTGGTTTTAAAAAAAAAGACAAAGGGTCACCTTGACTTAAATGACTTGATAATAAAATTTATGCAGCATAATTTCACCAGCCAATATGGCTGAGTACAGACAGCCAAAACTATCAAGTCTGTAGGCAGTAAGTACTTTATAATACCTGAATTAAACTGTTTGTCTGGTACTGGACAGAGATGCCCCAAACTTTGGATTTGTCACTTAATGTAATGTGAACATGGGTGTGTGTGTGCGCGCACGTGTGACAGACAGACAGCGACACTGAGAAGAAGGGAGAGGACGCTTCGTTGCTGGGTTTATAAGAGACTTTTTCCAAATGGGTTTATATTGACTCGATGATGCACATGCACTTCTAAGCTACTGGCTTTTCTATCCCTCCAAAAATGTTTTTGAAAACAAATCTCAAGTTTAGAATTTATAAAGACAAAGTAGAACAGAAGTGTAGCCTTTTTAAAATTGTTTTAAATCTTTATTTATTTTCGAGAGAGAGACAAAGTTTGAGCAGGGGAGGAACAGAGGGAGAGGGAGACACAGAATCCGGAGCAGGCTCCGGGCTCCAAGCTGTCAGCGCAGAGCCTGACGCGGGGCTCAAACTCATGAACTGCAAGTTCACGACCTGAGCCGAAGTCGGACGCTCAACCAACTGAGTCACCCCAGAAGTACAGCCTTTCAAAGTGACATATACGCATTCTCTCATTAGGTAACATAGAGTGGTGCTAAGGGTAGAACAGAACCTAACATGAACCATACACTTAGTGTCAGTGGGGTCATGGAGAAACTGGCACTCTCAGATACTGCTGATGGAAAAAGTATAATTGTGTTTCGGGATCGCAGCCTGACAATGTGTTTTACTTATTTTTTTAATGTTTATTTATTTTTGAGAGAGAGAGAGAGAGACAGAGTGTGAGCTGGGGAGAGAGAGGAGACACAGAATCCGAAGCAGGCTCCGGGCGGTTGGCACAGAGCCCCACACGGAGCTCGAACCCACAAAGCGCAAGATCACGACCTGAGCTGAAGTCACTCAACCGACCGAGCCAACCAATCACCCTGACGTGTTTGTTTTAAAATCAAACATGCGTATACCTTGTGACCATCACTGGAAATCTACTGCATCAAAATAAGTGCCATAGGGAAGGACACGTGTATAAGGGTGTTCACTGCAGACCAGTGTGCAGTGGCCGAGCTCTAGGAACAAAGGGAGTGCCTGCTGACAGGCAGTAGGTAAACGCATCACAGTCCACCCATGGCACGGCATACCGCCATTACTACCACCACCACCGAGAGAAACAGACTCAAATACAGAGAACAAACCAGTGGTTGCCAAAGGGAAGGAGGACGGGGAGATAGGCGAAGGGGATTCAGACGTACCATCTTGCAGTTATAAAATAAGGCACGGGGATGAAAAGTACAGCATAGGGAATGCAGTCACTAACACTACAACGACGCCGTGTGGTCACAGACGGTAGGCAGACGTACCGCAGCGAGTATACCGCAACGTACACCGTTGTCGAACCACTATGTGATACAGCTGAAACTGAGATGTCAACTATACTTCAATTAAAAATTTTTCAAAGTCAGGGTGCCTGGGTGGCTCAGTTGGTTGAGCGTCCGACTCTTGATCGCAGCTCAGGTCACGATCTCATAGTTTGTGAGACTGAGCCACACGTTGGGCTCTG